GGGGGCCCCCAGCTCCTGTCTCCTGCTGGCCCCCGTTCTGATAGGCTGGACGATGAGGGTGGGGTTCTGAGCCCTGTCGTTGGTCCCCTCCAAGCCGTGGTAGCCCCCTGCCCTGGCAGTCTCTGGAGAGACTGGGGCACCTGGCTCGGAGGCGCGGGAGGGTGACCTGCCCTAACCAAGGTATGGTGCTCTTTCCCAGCCTTGCCTGCTCTCCCCTGGACGGCGGCACCACTGCTTCTTGTCAGGGGACAGTGGCCCTGAAGGAGAGCCAGTCAGTGTCCCCCCCCGCCCCACGAGAGCCCGCTCAGGTCTGCAATTTGTCTGGCCCATCCGGGGCTGGCCATGGTGATAGCTGCGCTAACGCCTCTCTGCCGAGATTAATGAGGTCCCGGCAGTGGTAGGTGGGAGGCCTGAGCCTCTTATTTTTTGTGCCATTAAATGACATCCAGAGACTTCGACTCAGGAGCTGAAAAGCCCTCGTTCCATCACATCCAATTACTCCTGGGGAATATTTGCTGAGTGGCTGATCCCGCTGGCTTGAGAGGCTTTGGGGTGGAGAGGACCACTTAGACTTCGGCGGCAGTGGGAGGGCCGGGATGTGGGTGAGAGCTGCCCCTCTCCTCCGGAGCGGAGGACCTAGAGACCTGGAGAGGGACTTGTGAGTCCCAGCTCCCAGGGAGTGGAGCTCGTGGGCCCTGCCCCTCAAACGTGTTCCTGGTTGGGGCAGGAGGAGAGGGGAGGGGCTCTGGGTCGCTCCCTAGCTCCTGGTTAGCATTTCCAATATTGGTGGCAGGGACGGGGGGCTGGCATTTGGAGTGGAGTTGGGATTATCTGGGTCCCCGTGGTCTGTCCGATACTGCGGAGGGTGGTGGGTGTTGGCTGGACTGGGCTGTGCCTCTTGCAGAGGGCTGCCTGGGGCCCGCACGGAGAAGCTGCCCAGATGGCCCCCGCTGGGCGCCTGCCAGGCCCCTTCCCGCCTGCCATGCCGGGTGGGTGGGGCCCTTTGGAGGCAGAAGGGAGCTGCCTGCCGCAGGCCCACACAGCGATCCCGGTCGGCCCCGGGGCTTCTGGGCCAGGTGAACCACCCTGGGAGGTCACGGGGTGTGTGGGGCTGCTCGCAGGGGACTGTGTTTGTGTCTGTCTCTGTGTGTGTGAGGGCAGCCTGAGGGCGGGGCTGGTCTCTGGCAGGGCCCCTTTCCTCTCCCCTCCATGCCTCCCTGTGCCAGGAGCTCCCGTCTCTGCCAGCAGGTCGGTGGGCTTCCTCCGGCTACTCCCAGCCTAAGCCCCTGCATTAGTGCCATCCACTATTAGAGTCACTTGGGGCCCTGCTGTCCTTCCTGTCCCAGCCCCATGGCCCCTCACCTCTCTCACCACGGAACCTGTAGGCCTTCAGTGCCACAGGCAAGGTGCAGCCCCTCTGTGTGGCAAGTCCTGCCTGGCCCTCCTCTCTGACCCCTGTGGGTGGCGGCTCTGCCCAGGAACTGCTGAAGTCAGTGCCCGGGATCTGCTGCCGGAGTCCCAAGGACCCCTCCCCATATGCACCCCTCCTCCACCCCCACTTGGCAGGAGCGAGCCTGGTCCTGCGGCCCAGAGTTGCCCTGTGAGGTGGCTAGCTCCTGGTGCCCAGCCCTGTCCTGAGCTGGTGGCTCTGCAGTGGCCTTTGGAGCATATGGCCTGTCACTCATCTCGGGGACAGAGGGGGTTTCCCTGGCTCTAGGCGAGGTGGCTGGGTGTGGCTGGGTGCAGACCACAGCTCCCAGGAGCTCTAGGCTCACGAAGTCTTCACCAGGGAAGGGGGTGTGTGGGGAGACGCCTTGGGCTGCAGCTGCTGCCAAGAGGCCCAGGGTGGCAGTGCACGGTCACTCCCTGTCTGTCCCCACGCCAGGGCACAGAAGTCTGGGGTCTGGGCTGGGCGAGAGGGAATGGGGAGAGGGGCTTGGTGACAGGTGCACGAGGCCCTTCTTTAGCGTCAGAGGAAAGTGATTTCGCTACTGACTGCAGGCCCTGGGTCCATCACACCACTGGCTTCTCCCTCCTCGGCCTGTGCTGGCCACTTGCACTGAAGTCCCAGGGAGGCCAAGGGCCCGAACACACCGGACTCCATGGAGGTCCCTACCTGGTTCTCGCATGCTGACCCTTCCCCTCCAGTCTCCAGGCTGTTCTGCCTGTTCACCCAGGGGACACGAGCAGCTGGTTACACCACGCCCCGAGACTCCCCTTACTGTCATGATCCTGTCCCGTGGAGGGAAAACTAGACCAGGACGAGGCCCGGGGCCTATGTTCATTGGCAGGGCCTGACGCCCTGGCTGCTTGAGGGCTGGTCTGGCCTGGGGCTCCCTGAGTCCCCCGGCACTGTCTAGGTGCCTCAGAGGGTGCCAGGCCCATGGTGTTCTGACATTGTGCAAGGGCCTGGTGCCATTTCTGCTTTTGCATCACCCAGGTTCATCCAGGCAGGCCGGGCCTCATGACCTGACCTCTCAGAGCCCCTGGCAGCCTCCTGTCCCTTGCTCAAGTCAGGTCTGCCACCACCCCAGGCTGGTCAGCTCTGGAGTGGCTTTTGTGCATCACTTCTCAGGTGAGCAGTCTGAGGGCTCCCCTCGGTCAGCCTGCCAGAGCTGCCCCTTTGCTGGGCTTTGAGAACCTCCCAACCTTCCTGTGTCTTCTTTCTCTATTTTCTTTTACTTTTGCTATAGGATACATGCACTAGCTAGAGAGAGAGAGAGAGAAAGAACTTCCGGGAGGATGACCACACCGCAATCCCATCTCCTCCATTCTCCTCCCAGGATCTTGAGCATGCACGCACATGTGCCCCGCATGCTTTTTTTCAAGTGTCCATGTCCGGGACTCAAACCACATAATTGACCATATGGTTAATGCCTTAACCACCATGCCACTGGCTTGCCTTGTTTTTAAAATGCATGCATCTATGGCTTCCCCATCCAGAGCCCCCTTCCTCACTCAAGGATTCCATTTCTTCCCTTCCTCCACACGGCTCAGGACCACCGAGATTGCAGCTCATCTGCAGACAGCCTCTCATTTTCTAGGTGAGAAAATGGAGGCCCCAGAGGTTGACTGATTTGCCCCAAAGTGTAGCCACCCTGCAGGGAAGCAGCTTTGCACCTGCCCTGCCGGCCAGGCATCCTGAGAAGGGAAGAGATCCCTCCCAAGTCCACTCAGGACTGCCCACTGCCCTCGCGGCCAGACACATAGTAGGTGCTTAATTACAAGCTGCTCTGCATTGCTAGGTAATCACTGCCCAAGCGGACTGTAAACTCCTCGACGGCAGGGGAAAGTCCTGGGGCCCCTGCGAGGCCCCATGCACAGGCCAGGCCATCTGGCAGCATACCAAATTGTCCTGAAGCTGAAGGGACCCCACAGATGCAAGTCCTGTTCCTGAGGGTTCACCTGGACAAAAGGCGACTGCAGGGGTGGGGAATGCATGCGGAATCGTGGCTGGGGCAAAAACCCAGAGGGACCAATAAAGGGTTTCAGGCTTGAGAAGTTTCCAGCTCGGGCTTGTCACCTGCGCCCTGGGAAGGTGGGGGAACTGTGGCCGGGTGCGCGCTCTCGCCGGTTTATGGAAGGAGAGGTTGTGGTGCAGTGGGGAGCACCTGGGGTGTATGCGGCCCGCCGGCTCCACCCTGTGACACACTCCTTCCCTCCACGCTGTCCTCCGTCGGCCCTGGAGAAGTTTCTTCCGGTGACGCAGTATGTCCCCCGCCTGGGGCCCTGGCACTGTGACCTTCATTCACTGTGACCTCCACATCTAACCGTGCATGCAGAGACAGTGCCTTACCTACAAGACTCCAAGGGGGAGCATCCCCACCACCCCAGCCTCTGACCACACTGCCTGGGCAGGGGGACGGGACATCCCGGCTTTTCGGTTGAGATTGGTACCCAGAGATCTGTCCTGGCCTGGGGCAAGGTACATTTTTGTGCTCTTCCCTCTGTGTATCCAAACCGCAAAGCTTGTCTTCGGCAAGGCCTTCTAGACAGATCTCAGGTTGGCAGGTGGTCAGGGCACCTGGGAAGGGTTCACTAGTAGAAAGGTTGCACCAGCTCTGCTCCCAGGGCACCCTGGAGCCCTCCGGGCATGGAGGCCCTGCCCCTTTCCTGGGGCCTGGGTGCCAGGGTTGCAACAATACCTGCATTGCTTCCCAGTGGGTGGAGGCTGGTCAGAGTCACTGGGTGAGAGGGAAGGACTGGTGACAGCCCCCCTCCCCCGTTGCTGCCAGCCTGGGGGTGCTCTGTGCTCGTAACTGCGTCTGCGCTTTCTGCACCGTCTCCCCTTTCTACAGCTGGGCAGGTGTTAGCGTGCATAGGGCACTATTCGTGTCCCATTTTCCTGACTAGCAATGGAAGGCTGGGGCGGGGCGCGGCCTGCACAGGTCAGATGTGTCACCGTGGTGTGTTGCAATGACCAGGTGTCCCTAGTGGCAGGGACCGAGGCTAAGCAGGCCAGGCTGGCCATTACGGGGCTTCGAGCAGTCTGAGGAGGACTGCTGGGAGAAGCTGGAGGAGGGGGCGTGGCTGGGCAACTCTGCCCACCGCTGGGACGGGACAGGACGGCAGCACAGACCGGGCAATTAGGGACCAATGGAGACGGACCAGCAGGGTGGCATTCCAGGCCCTCTTGCCCAGATCACACTCATTACAGGGTGTAATTACCTGCCAAGGTGCTGAGAGGTAGCTGCCTGCACATGCCAGGCAAGGTTTCGGGGGTGCTTCTTTCTCCCCGGCTCCAGTGGCTCTCTTTGGGACCCTGCCTTATAAACCAACTCACTAGGCTAACCCCTCCATTTTGGCCTATGGGACTGACTTCCTGTGAGCGACCACGTGTAAAGCCAAGGTCTCCTTCGGGGCGCTCACTCCAGCTTGCTCCCAGCAAACACCACCCTTTGACCCCAGTCTCCAAGGCTCGCAGGCGCAGGCGGGTGAATGTGCACATCAGCTCTGGCCCAGAACTCCCCCACCGCAGTGTGCAGGATGGGAAGGCTTACCTCGGGTTTTGTTTTCTTTGGGAAGGAGAGAGATGACCTTTCCTTCCTGAAGATAGACGAAGAACTGGTAGCGGTGGAAGCCACTGTGTGCCGGCGGGGGGGGGGCCTGGGAGGCTACCGGGGGGGAAGGGGGGGGGGCGGGGGCCCCCCCCCCCCCG